GCCATCGGCTTTACCAAAACATGTAGCCTTCTTCTGAGAGCCTACGTGTCCATTTTATCCTTTTTGGTATAGTCGACAATGACAGCGGCTTACCTCCTTCTTCTCAGACAGGAATCAAAGACCTTCCTTGGGTCGCTCAGTGCATCCCTTTTGCGAGGTATTGAAGTTGTACAGCCGTTGAGAACAGTCTCTATCGAGTGGTAATAAAAAAGTTTCACGCTTGCTATCAAGTTACGGAGAAGTCGGTTGACGATAACAGCGACGCCCCTTTGAATCTTGGACGGTACAGCATCGAAAAGGGTGAACGATGCTGTCATTGTGGCCCCTCTTGAGTTATCCTCTACAGTCCCTTTTCTCCATCCCACCTACCACCTGGCCAACATCACAGCCATCTTCAAAATTTCTGCTCGCTACTAATTCTCCCAGATTTCCAGATTTTTTCCAGTTTTGTCAAAAAAAACTGACGTTGAGGGTTGAGGGCGGTAGGTGGAAGTGAGGTCGTCACAAATCAACACCAAAATCAACTACAAGAAGTAGTAGTTATCTAGTTCCTGGGCGCCGGAACAGGTTCAGATATAGGCGAGTGGAAGGGAGGGAGTTAAAGCGCACGTCAAACGGGAAAAATCGCGGCAAATCAGCAACCAAAGAATTTTTTGCGACTAGCAAAAGTTTCTATAAAAGCCACGCACAATTCTACCTATCAAATACGACCCCAGGACCTTCGATGGGGTGCTCTCAACGATGCTGCACCGTGCTTGGCCTATTCACATAGAACGGCTTCGTAGCAGCGCGCAACTGGTACTGCACTGCAATACTCTTCATCTACGACCCAGGGCCTCTGCTCACTCACACGAGCGCATCGCCAACATCACAGCATTTAACGTAGCTACACAGACCCACCTTGCATTTCGACACTTTTGGACTACTTTTCTCGTCCCCCCCCCCCCTCCCGATACTCCTCGCATAGGAGATACCTCACACTCTTTGACTTTTGCTAGTGCGCGTCAGTTTCCCTCCCGTAGCGCCACCTCAGAATAAATGTGACATCACATAACCTGATATGGGACATGGGCATTCGTAAGCCAGCTCATAGCGAAGATGTCACCTACATTCGCACGTTCAGCACAGCTGCAGAAGTGTGCAGTTCATTGTAACTCCACGTGGGGGAGTGGACCTCAGCCTATTCCGTAAAAGCTAGAACGTGCGAAAAAGCTCTTACAGATCAATACTGACGTAGTTGCCGACCAGTGGTTGTAAAGTGCGCTTGCAGCGGAACTACTCTTGATAGCGCCCTACCCATCTTTCAAAGACAATGGGCTGGGGACGGGCGGTTGTTGCCAATGTCACTGGTGGAAGGGCTGTGAGAGGGCATTTGGCCACACCTCATTCTGACCCTCTTACAGACGTTGGCAGTAACCCGCCCGCCCCAGCCATCGCCCGCCACCGTGCCCACTGCTTCCAAAGGCACACTCCGCGATAACCAAACAGATGCCATCCTTCCCGCGTATCGAGAACAAAAATCCTCAGTCATTTAGTCTGTGCTTATTTCGCCACAAAGGCGCGAGGCAAGGGTGCTGCGGATTTGCAAAGGTCAGAAACCCTAGCATCCAGGTGTTGACATCCATGCACCCACCATTGCTGCGTTGGTCGATTTCCTCCCGCCTGTGTGTGGCCCTCACCCGGCATATCTAGTCGTTCGCTTAAGTTTAGTGTCTCCTTGCGCCGGTGTTAGAATTCGTCCATACTTTGTGTTTTGGTCGCTTGATCCCGCGACGAAATCGCACTCGCGATCGGAACGACCAAAATCGCGAAATCTGAACGCACTCTCAGCCCGATGCTGAAATTCCTCCAGCCCTTTCAGAGATGTTTTAATATGATGACTGCTGTTTAACGCCGCAATGTGCTATCCGAAAGTTTTCACAATAGTGCTGAGTTATGGGGAAAAAAGTCTGTCCACGGACGGCACTCGGGACCATATTCCGCTTGCCGGGCGGTTCCGTTAACCATTACGTTACGAGGGTCATTCTTACCCTATCAGGTCGATGGTTGATGGTAGGAAATGGCATGAACAGAGGATAAGAGTGGGCCCCGGTAGAGTAATATACAACGCAACTGTCCGGTGAGCGGGAGACACGGGTCCGAGTCCCGTCCGTAATCTGACTTTTGCTCATAACTGGGCTCACTTGTAAAAAGATCCAGCCCCTGTCTAAGGCATTCTCGGTTCCTTTTGCTCATTTCTTTACAGGTAGGTCAATGAGCATCTAACTTTCATGCTTGTACCCCAACAGCTATGACTTGCGACTGCGGAATGCATCTCTAAACACTAGTTAGACAGCTGACTGACAGCAACGCCCCATGACCATGGCAATGAGAGTCATAAAAGAAAACCAGGGACGCCCACTGCGAATGGGTATTCAATGGAATGCAGTGCAGTAGCGACACAGTCATATCAGTAGCTTACCAACTGTTATTGATAGACATGCAGCACAGCGCTGAATTTCACAATCGCGGGCAGCAAACTGGTGAAGGCAATGTATACAATTCACTGGTGGCATAGTGGGG